CTACCCTCACTCTATTTTCCCACTTCTAGAAATTAATTTGTTATAAGCTTATTTATTTATTTCTTCTGTGAGTGAAAGAGAAAGAGAGACGGCACGCCCAGCAAGGTCTCCATGCTATGATCCACCCCCAGACTCAGCCAGCCCTGTGTCACAGGCATGTGCTTGCCTGGTGTGTTCTGGGAGGTCTCCAGATGTGAACCTGGAACCTTCTCATGTGGGTCAGCCTCACAGAGTGTCGAGTTTGATTGCAATGCCACTGTCTGGCTCCCTAGAATTTATTTTTTCACGTTGTGGTTTATAAGTATTTATATTCTCTCTTATAAACTTCAGTGATAGGGTTCCTCCTTTGTAGATTGACTATTAGGGATATTTCTGTAACCAGATGTGTGGGCTTTTTCACACCAACCAAGTCTGTGACTCCGGCCTGGAGTGACCTGCAATGTGTTTAAATTCTGACACCATCTACCTGGACGCAGAGTCAGATCCTGCAAGTCAATGCTCAGTCTCACAAGCGGATCCCCACTGCAGATGCCAGCAGCTAGTGTGGGGCTGGTCTTCTGACCAGCTGGCTGCAAACCAAAGGTTCCCACCGTCTCGTTCTTGGTTTTAGCTATTTGTTAGAATGGCTGATGGAATTCAGGGAAACACGTTTACCACATTATTATAAAGGATGTTGCAAAGGACACAGATGAACAGCCAGATAAAGAGGTACACAGGGCAAGGTCTAGAAGAGTCTCAAATGCAATGCTTCCCGTGCCTGTGGAACTGGGGTGTGCCACCCTGTCTGCATGGTAATGTGGTCACCAACCTGGAATCCCTCTGAACCTCAGGCATTTTTACAGAGGCTTCATCATGTAGGCACGATTATTAATTAACTCAATCTCCAGCCTCTCTCTCCTTCTAATGACGGTGAGGGGTAGGGCTGAAGGCTCTAAGCTTCCAGTCATGGCCTGGCCTTTCCTGTGATCAGCCTCTATCCAGGCATTCACCAAGAGTCCTCTTTAGGACAGAAGACACTCCTATTACCTAGGACATTCCAAGAGATTAGGAGTTCTGTGGCAGGAACCGGGGTCAAAGACCAAATATTAGAGCAAAACATTTTCTTACTGGATTCTCTCTTTCCAAGAAGGTATGTTATTCCCTTGTATTACCTAAATCAGAATGATCAATGTTCAAAATTCTCCTTAAATATGAGCACTCTTGGGGTCAGCCCCACAGCATAGTTAAGGGATCCAGATCACATATGTCCAACCGTGGTCCAAATCCCAGCCCTGGTCACTTGAAAAACAGGCCAGGTACATGTGTGTGGGTGCCCCAACTCCTAATGGGATGGCGGAATGGAAGAAAAGGGAGTGCGGCATGACTGTACTCCACTGGAGGTGGGTGGTATGTTCTTTTTCTCTTCTTTTCTCTGGTAAACGCATGTACCCTCTGACAAGAAAAGTATGTATATATATAAAGTATATATATATAAAGGATAAAGGAGAATAAAAGAGGAGGGACTGCAGTGCGGTCATCCTCCCTGGGGGCTGCTTTCTCAATTTCTCTCTTTATCTCTCTGTCTCTGTCTCTCTCCAGCAAGCACAAACACCCTAGAGCAAAACAAAAACAAAAATCTACCACAT